TCTGTTCCATGTACCGTTTATTCCTTTATCATTCGTATATGTAGTATCTTTTCCACCACAGTTCCACGGCTAAATTCCAATGTGAAAAGATCACTGCTATCGATGTGGCCTCGTACCTCAGCTGCTAGAGCATGCGCGTACAAAGCGTACGCGGAGTCCATGCGTGGGTTCCAATCCCACCGAGGCGACTGAACTTTTCACAATCCACATACAAACTTCTAATCGCCCAATTAACTAGTTGAACAATTCACCTCGTCTGACAACTTCATTCCGTCCAGTCCGGTGAATTCCAAGCAAAATCTGTCGGGCCAGTCAGCTTACATGCTAACTGGTGCACGCCACATGCCTCTCCATTTTCGATGGCTAAATTCCAATGTGAAAAGATCACTGCTATCAATCAATACGTCCACCGCTCTATTGAGCTTTCCCTGACTGCTTTAGGTTACGTGGCCACAGCTGCCTTTTAAATTGAGCCATCATTTTCGCAACGTGGGCATGTGGAAAAACGGCTTATTATCCCGGCCTTTTCTCGAGATTGGTTTTATGCAACTGTTCTCTGCTACGTTCAAATACAACAATCGTCTTGCTTCGATACGATCGATTTTTTCCCTCTCGGTTTTTGTTTTGGTGGAGAAATTTCGTTGAACACGCAACATCTTGGATTTACGTTCACATCAAAGCACTCCCACAAGACACCAACTGATTCATCGGATTCATGCATCCCTTAACTAAGTTGCCTCTAGGCTTTAACGATATGCCAAAACCTTTCGAATGTTTCAACCGGTTTGGGCATGGTGAAACTGCAAGTCGCTTATTCAACGAGCCGTACACGTCAAGGTCAACTTGTGTGTTTCTTGGACTATGGTTATAGTTCCTTCAGTATCGTAGATAATGCGTAATTAGTTTATAGCCAAATAATTTATCAATTTATTTAAGCTGGAATATTTTCATCAATTCACATTTTGGCTGTGCGCTGAATGAAAAGAGATGAGCAATTTAGAATACGTTTGCTCAACTGAATAAAAACTCTCATGGAAAAGAAACCAATTATAAAAAGAATGAACTCCAATGATGCTTTGCGTAAAATATTTTTCAAATCTCAGCTGTTACTTTCGAACTACTACAAATTTCATCGCACCACTCAATGTCACGCAAATTCAAACGGTGGTAGGAGAGAACTAAAAACATAGATGTGGGAGATAAAATCAGAAATAAATGAACTTTATCCACAGCCATCAATATACAAGTATAACATTGGAAACTGAAATGTATTTCCAAAATGAGAGTGATGTTGCACGAGTTTGATCAGCACCTGTATGTCAAACGTCTAGTTCTTGGGTCAAATTTCTCTAATGAAATTTGTACCACTCATGAGTAGTATATTTATTTTGGAAAATGGTAGAACAATAGTATGTGGAATTAATTATTATTGTTACTACCGCTTTTATCATTGCTATAGTTTAAAAGTTAGTGTAAAACAGATCATAACATATCACAATTATTATAATATAATATTAATATAATATTATAAGAATATAAGACTAATAATAATAAGCCAATCACATGAGGCCCGCCTAAACAAGCGGGGCCTTGTGGTTCACCACTCCAAGTCTTGGGGCTTAGGTTACCTGATTCCATCAATGAGCTGCAGATCCCCGTGACTATGGGGCCTTACCAGTCACCACATCAGTGTTATAAAAAAATAAAAATGATGAAAGCGAAGCTTTAGAGTCGTGAATAGACTATAACAGTTCTTACCACGAATTCCTAATAACACGGTTCTTCAACACATGAATTAACAGATGGCTACTATCATGCCGTGTACTTAACTATAGTGAGTCCCTTCCTTAGCCTCAGTCGGACAGGAGGTGAATATCACGAGTGAATGATGGTAGATTGAACTATTATCAAAGAATAAAGCGTACCAGTGCATAAGAAAATATAGACCAATCGGAAGTGAACACAATAATGGCCTACAGAAATAGCACCCTTGATGTGGTAACTGTTGGACAGGGTTGTGCTGGATCAATGATCTTCTCTCAAATCAGGTCACTCATGGAAATCTGCGTGATGCTCACGTTCATTCCCGACTCTGTACGCATGCACTGGTCAGTAGTTCGGATGCATCTTCCTAGCATTTTATGGTGGACACTTTGTTGGGCACATATGTCAACTTGATTTCGTGGAATTATGACGTTCCGTTATAAGAAACAACTGATTGTGGTGCTTCTGTTGTTTAAGCTTGATCAATTAGGTAATGCAAAATAGAAACCAGGCAATCCTGAGTTCGAATTCCGTCATCGTCACCTCTCTTGCCCATTTCTGTATTCCCTCAGACAGCCATTGTATGGCCATCACTCAACTCCCAAAATTGGATTATATATCTGCATACTTAATGCATAAAAAGGAAGTTAAAACGTAAATGCCTGCGTGTCACAAGACATAAGGTACCTAGTGAGGGTGTAATTTACTACTCCTGCACGGTGGCCCGATTGGATAGCACATCTCGAAAAGTTCCGAAGCTACAATTCCACTTCCATCGACATTCTACGTAAAACTTGGGTGACGATTGTATTGAATTATTTGTTACATAAATTTCTATTATGATTCAAGCCTTTGAACTTGCATGCGGAACATTTACTCTATATAGTAAACTATCAAAAACTACACTTGTGCTATATCCTTAGACTAGTTTAAGACAAATACAACATAAGCCCGCTAATCATTTCACACATTGCACATGATCCACTTCAAAGATGAAATCAGGATAACACATCCAGGCAATCTTCATGGGAGTATATTGCAAAGGTGATCCGGAGACAGTCTTAGAGTGATATCCATTGGGACCACTAAACAGGAGGCACCTGGGATTATTTGGGATTTAAAAAAAGAACTAGACAGATGGGAAAGATGGTTTTCCACATAAGTACCTAAGACTTTAGGGCATGACATATTTTGCGGTGGATCACACCGACAAACTAGGTTTTCTTTGAGAACCCTAACCGCAACTTTCGACTTAAAGGTCTGACTCACAAAGCATTGGGGCGTAAATCCAACGCGGGAGCGTGAACAGAGCACCCGTGTGGGAGCTTCCAGAGAACTGTCACGCAAGGCCTTCGGGTTTCGGTTAAGTATGTTGTTCGCTGATGCGTTGATGGTCGGTCGCTTTCGGGATCGGCCCTTAGCCTCATGCACCCACTGAGACAAGCGGAACGTGGACGGGACAGCACCTTATTGGATGGGGGCTTCCAAGCTTGAACGGGCGGTAGCTGTCCAAAGAAGTGAGAAGACTTCTCCCACCGTCGAGAAGAAGCCCCAGGTATCCCCGCTCCTACGTCCATTTAGCGGGGGTTGTTCGACCGGTAAACTGCCCCTCACCGTGTTTTTTTACTGGAGTGACCTCTCCAGGGGCGGGTGTGGATAGAAGAAGGATAGGTGGCTATGAGGAGCCACAGTATTTATCTCCCAGGAGGGGATTAACCCATCACACCACGTTAAGGTGCAGTCTCGTCGTGATGGGCACTTGCCGGTAAGCGACTCCAAAGGTACTATTTTTATATCTGTCCGGGGGATTGGTATCACTATGAGCTTCTAACGCCGAGCGAGGGTTGTTTGGAATAAGGATTCTAACCTACTCCATTACACTGACTACCAATGTTTAGTCCACCCAGAGGACAACACCGGGCATTCGCCTTTGCCCTTCCACTTTACTGTTAACATCCCTATCACATGAAGGCAGTGGTTAGGGCCTCCTACGCAGAAGCTGCAAGTTAACGAAGTAAGTTAAAAGATGTGTTCAACATAAGTTTTATCCATTGAAACTTACTGCATACCAAGCACAAAGGGTGAACAAATATCCAAAGATTATGTAAAACAGAGCCATCGACTCAATGGTGAAGCGACAGTCATTCTTTAGAAGCGGTAAACTAAATCTGATGTAGTCACGCACATACTGGAGCCGTTCCATGCAACTATGTTTTGACTGCTACACAGACAGTGGTGAGATATCCTATAGACAGCCCTTTTGTGTCCCAAGTCAATGCCTCTCTCTCAAAATAAGCACTATCACTTCTAGTCAAACCTAATCAAATGTATTTTTAAAGCCGTATTTGCTTCACATCTCTCTGGTACGAGACAAATACTAACAACTCGAGTGAAAGCGGCTGGATGCGCGTCATTGTAATTGGATAAGCCCAACGACCAACCGGACGCCTAAAGTATAGAATAAGTCTACTGGATTCAACAGGACTGAGAAGCCTGAATGGCGATGTAGAATGCATACCATGGCATTCACAAACATTACTAACGTGAACGAAAGACCTGTATGTGCACAGAACATGTCTTAGACATTTCAATTTACTCTTGCATGGAGACGAATAACTGCCGTATATGGCGAGCTAAACCGTCATTGGCACACTGATTGTGTAGCTGATGTTAAAAAGCCATGGTATCTCAGCAACACAATCACAGTTAGAAGCAACGGGCCAACAACAAGAGATTGAAAACATGAGACAAACGAAAGATGATTTTCGTAAATGATAAATTGATGAAAAAGAAATGACGTCGAAAGACTGTTGAAAGGTGGCATTGGGGGCTATCTGAATATCACGGCAGGTGACTGTCCAAAAGGAAGAGACACTGGTAAATAAGAAATTGACAAAGCCCAAGGTGATAAATCACTTGGAACCGGTTAGGTTGCGAACAAGGCCAACGAAAGCTGACAACGAAGTAGCCGTTGTGTTCGTGCCGGCGCTGGTTTGTACACTAAATCGAGACAGCCTAGCAGCCTCGATCCACAAATGCGCTTTTGTGAGAACGTGAAGATAACGTTGAAGCAGGGCCAAACGTTGCTCCTTTTCAGGTACATTCGACAGGTGGTGTTCAAGTATTTGAGTAATATGAAAAAACAGAGAAGGACATGTGAACAAACTTTTTTCTCCTTGAGTGCTGGCCAAACGAGGCCAAAGAGAACCGTGAACACACAAAAAGTATAGACAAGCATTCGCGTCTACTGCTCGACTGATCTGAGCAGACTGTAAAGTGGAGAGCTGGCATAGAGCTTGTTCCACTAGTTGGGAATCTGGTTGATATAAGCATGCGGATACAATTGTGCTAGAGGGAAACGGTGAGAATATCACGTCTTCCGCATCTTCTCGGGAGGTCAAAATACGTAGGTAATTCAGTCCCGCACATACCAACCCGGACGGAGGAGTACAGCCATACTGAATCCATTGTTCCAGCAACCAATCCCGTGATCCGGCCTCATTGCGGAACACATCACACTGAATTCCGAATTCAAGCCACAATTGCCACGTACGTATTTCTGCGTCAGACAGCACAGACTGATCCCCTGAAATGATGGAAACCAAGAATGAAATGTCTCGGTAAAAGAAAAGTGCGTTGCGAAACGATACACAAAAACCCATTGGGTCAGTTCTCGTTCCCAAGGACTTAAAATAAGAAGAGATAGAGTAAAAGAAAATCACAGTATGTACAATTAGCACCGATGTCAACGGTCCGGGAACCAACCAGAATCCAGATACTGGACCGGTCTTAGTGCACGGAACCGTGCACAGTGAATGAATTTCTCGATCACGTATTTATCATACTACATGCA